CAGCCTGCTCCGAACCCGTGCCACAGGTCTGACGCTGGGGCTTCTAACGAGGTAGGTTCGTGCCTGTGCAGGCAGGTTGTGACCCGGGGCCCACGCGAGGTCAGCGCAGCAGCGCAGAGGGGTCCCCAGACAGCTACAAACACGGACACGTGTTTGCACAGGTATGTGCAAGCCCTGTTCCCCGGGGCAGCCGTCATGCCTGAGCGGGGCTCCCTTTTGCACTGGCAGGTTGGGGGCTGCTCCCCTCCTTCAGACAAATGAGGGGGCTGGGGGCAGAGAGTGGCCATGCCAGCTCCACTCTGGGCACTGGGCGAGGCCCAAGCCTTGGCCAGGACCAAGGAGGGAGCAATGGGGAGCCAGAGATTTGTCTGTACAGCATCTCCCTGGCAGCTGGCAATGGGGCCGCGCATTGTCTGAGGCGGCCCCCCAGCTCCACCGGCCTCAGCAAGTTTGTATCCCCCCAGCTGGGCTCCTACCCTGTGTCCCAGACCCACAAATTGCACCTTCTCAGCTTGTTACTACATCTCCTCTGCTACAGCCCACCGCTATAAGCCTCCACCAGACAGAGGTGACCACGTCCCCTCTGCTGCCCGCCAGCCCCGGGAACCTCCTGTACCAAAACACAGCCTCAAGCCCCCTTCCCGCGACTCCTCTGCCAGGGCTGGCACAACTCCCCAGCACCAAGGCATGTCTCAATTAACTCGGCATGCGAGGAAAAGGGCCGCCACTGCCTGCTCCCGCTCCCCGTGGGACGGCTTCCCCCGCCGAGAGGAGCTCCCAGTGCCCCCATCACGGCCGCCTGCGGGGGAGAGCGGGGGGAGCCCTGCAGCTGGGAGGGAGCTCGCAGCGAGAATGTCCTTGCTCTGACCCCGGAGGGTGGGAAGGGGGAGACGGGGATGAGACATTCCATCCCCTCGCTTCTAATTTAATAAAACAACAGGGAGAGAAGTGTGGGGAGGAGAGGGATTTAACCCTTCTGCAGCTGGGCTCTGCTGGGCAAGCATGGGTGCTTCATGCCAGCTCCTCTCTGGCTGGCAAAGACCCCAGCCAAAGCAACCTTCCTCTGCTCTCCTGCTGGCCCCGCTTCTGCCAGCCCCCCAGTCCCCCCCGTCACCTGTAGGTCCGTCTTCATGAGCGAAGCCCCGGCCTCCACGATGTAGTGGCAGATAGTGCGCTGGCGTAAGGCTGCAGCCTGGTGCAAGCTGGTTTCGCCGCTGGGGAGGAGAAAGCGGGAGATGTGAGATGTCCCCCTCCCGAATGGGGACAAGCAGCACGTGCGGGTGGCAGTGAGGGACAGCAATTTGATTGCAGCAGGAGCTCGCGGTGGGTTTCATGCTTGTCCAGGCAGCCCTGGCAGAGGAGGGGGTGCTGCTTGGGGATGGTCAGTCCAGAGTGGACTGGGAACCATGGCTGGTAATTAGAGTGAGGGCAACTGGTAAGTGCCCAGACAACTGGTCATCTCGCCCAGGGTCTGGCCGATAGGTAACGCAAGTCAGTCAGCAACTTACTTCTCCTCTTCCGTGGCATCGAGGATTTCTGAAGGGGCTGTGGAGAGAAAGACAGTGCAGGGCGAGTGAGACCCGGCTGCGGAGCAGAGACGGACCCACCTACTCCCCAGTCGCACTCTGCGTCTTTCCATAGGGGCTGCCATTTCTTTCCATGCTGCCTGCAAAAGTCCTGGCTCCAAAGCACTCAGGCCAGCAACAGCATCTGAGCCCAGCTGAGATCAGGGAAGAAGAGTTGTTGTGGACTCATTACAGAGAAATATCTAAATAAAAATAAAGCAGCTACTATTTCAGTGGGAGCTGCCAAAAACAACAGGTCAGCTGCCCTGAAGGCAGAAGCAGGACACTGAGAAATGTTTCCCAGGGACATGCTGGTGCCTGCCAGGATGCGGCAATGGCCATGGGGGTACCCCAATACTGGCTGACAGATGCCACAAAAAGCCTATACGCCAGAAGGAGGATGTATCAAAGCCAGAGAAAAGGGATCTAAGCCCAGGAGCAGCCCCTCCAAGCAGAGGGTTGGGCTTTTTTGGCTGCCAGGCCCCTTCGCTAAGGGTGGCACTCTGGCCCCAGCTCACCGTTCTCGATGATGTATTTGACGATGTCCTTGCTCCCTGATTTGACAGCATGGTGGAGGACGGTCTGGCCTGAGGAGTCTCGCACCATCAGGTCTCTTCCAGCCCGGTGCAGCTCTTGGAACTACAGGATTGCCAGATTGCTTGGGATGAGTTGCCTTGCCCAGCTTCAAGCCCCAAGCCCCGGCATCGTGTCCCTGGGGTGCTTGACAGGTTGTATGGATATTTGGGACCTGGCAGGGAGCTTTGTCCAGCTCAGCCACAGCGCCAAGTCCCTTCCCTCCATGTCGCCCAGGCGAGGAATTGGGCTTCTTGCCAGGAGCCTGCCTGGTTTCCAGCCACCGCTCCTGGAGGAGGGCCCTCGACAGGAGCTGCTCCAGGGCAATCGCGGAGTGTGGCTGGCAGGGCTTCGGACAGCCCGAGGGGGACGCCAGCCGAGCAGGCTGCGGGACGAGCACCCAGAGCCAGCCCTGGCTGCACATCACAGCAGGCAGTGGGAGTGCCTACCTTGCTGAAGTTGCCGCTCTTGGCAGCTTCTATCAGAAGGTCGTCTGCAAAGAAGGGAGATGGACTGGGGTCAGAAAAGCCAAGCTGTAATGCTGTTTATCTAACTGGAGAGCCAAGGGTTGGGCACCGGAGGCTCAGCAGTCAGCTGGAGTTCCTCCAGGTGCTAACTCCTTGGTCAGACTGGTTTTACATTGCTCCCCCACCTTTAGGCATGTAAGGGACAAGCCAGGGGAAGGAGGGAGACCCCACATAGCTGGGGGCGCAGCCAGATCTCAGCCCCAGGGAGGTGCTCATGCAGGGGGAGCAGTCTCTACCCATGGGCAGGATGACTTGCGATGGAAGCGGGGAGCAGATCTCCTGGGCGTCAGCCAGCAGCCAAGACGCCTCTTACCCATGACTCACTCACACTTCCAGGCACTGGGCTCCGCTCAAGCTCCAGGAAACTCTTTCCATTTGCTCAGCTCGGTGAGGCCCCTGACCTTGTGCTCCCACCTCCAGAGCTCCCGCCACAGCCC